CATAAATTCCCTTTTATAACATTTTTTTCATGACTTTCACAATCTTCAACTTTTTGACTTGTAAACATCCCTTTCCTTAGTTATTTTATTTTAGCACAAGAATTTACCGTATAAGATTCTTTTTATATAAATTCTCCTTTTTTTTTTTTTCTTTTTTGTCAAAGATGATAACCGTTCTTTTCCAAAGCAAACTTCTTTCATGTCTGTGGTCTAGACTGTCTAAGGTCACAAGATTAGTAGGGTAATACATGTTACACTGTTAACTTTTAGCAAACTTTATATATAAGTGTCGTCCCTTAATGCATTTGGGCCATCCACGGGTTACTGGGTTAAGGATTTTTGATAGAAAGGCTACCCGCTGTCAGTGGCCTCTGTGCCCTTGGGCCGGTATTTCTAAGGTTATGCCCTTGTTTACACTGACAAAAAGACAGAATGGCTGCTTAAGGAGGTAACCTTTCCACCTGTTGGATTTCTGGTAATTGTCAAATGAGTGGGTTTAGCCTGTCTTGTGTGAGCTTTTTATATAAGGGCTTTATTTTTAGGGCGTAAGAGTCTATCCATAGACACGGAGACTCCGCAAAACCTTGGGTAAGACTGTCCATTGGTGTTGCTGTTTTCCACCGGAGTGAGGGTCTTCTCACTCAAAGGCAAGTAGGTCCCGGCTGCCCTCTGCACGTGGACAAGCCCACAAGTCATCGTTATTTTAACCCTATTACTGTAAACTACTGGCAGTTGTAATAGTATAAGGATTGGATTGGGAACAACAGGGTCTAAGAAGCCGCACGTGGAGAAGATCTTACAGGTTGTGCATTTACCCTGAGCTTTTTTTTTTTTTTTTTTTTTTGAGACGGAGTTTCACTCTTGTTACCCAGGCTGGAGCGTTACCCAGGCTGGAGTGCAATGGCGCGATCTCGGCTCACCGCAACCTCCGCCTCCTGGGTTCAGGCAATTCTCCTGCCTCAGCCTCCTGAGTAGCTGGGATTACAGGCACGCACCACCATGCCCAGCTGATTTTTTGTATTTTTAGTAGAGACGGGGTTTCACCATGTTGACCAGGATGGTCTCGATCTCTTGACCTCGTGATCCACCCGCCTCGGCTTCCCAAAGTGCTGGGATTACAGGCTTGAGCCACCATGCCCGGCCTACCCTGAACTTTAAAAGCACATTGCTTTCTCTTTATTCCCTCTCCCCCCCCCCCCCTCCCCTCTGTCCCCTCTCCCCCCTCTCCCCCTCTCCCCCTCTCCCCCTTCCCTCCCCTCCCCCCTCTCCCCTCCCCCTCTCTCCCCCTTCCTCCCTCCTTCCCTCCTTTTGTTCCATGTCAGTCTTTCTCCTCTAGAATTTTTTTTTCCTCTCTCTTAGAATCTCTTTTGGAGGTTTATCTTTCTAGTTCTCTATTAATCAATTTATTTTTTGTAATTTCTTGTTGATATTTGGCCAATTGTTAGTGACAAAATGAAGTCTTAACATTCCCTGCCCAGGAAGATCCTGAGCACCTAGACCAGCATATTTTCCTGCGTGTTTTCTCGGTAGGCTGCGTAACTGTCGTCCCACGGGGGGTCTTGGGTGGGAAATTTTTGATCTGCTGTAGAATGTTTTGGCCAGGGTGGGTGTTCGCGTTCCTAGGCTCCCATAGCAGCTCTGTGTACCTCTTTGTCGTCCCCGCCCCGGCCAGAAGAGGGGAAAGGGAAGTTCTGAATACCTTTTTTTTTTTTTTTTTTTTTTTTGAGACGGAGTTTCACTCATGTTACCCAGGTTGGAGTGCAATGGCGCGATCTCGGCTCACTGCAACCTCCACCTCCTGGGTTCAGGCAATTCTCCTGCCTCAGCCTCCTGAGTAGCTGGGATTACAGACACGCACCACCATGCCCAGCTAATTTTTTGTATTTTTAATAGAGACGGGGTTTCACCATGTTGACCAGGATGGTCTCGATCTCTTGACCTTGTGATCCACCCGCCTCGGCCTCCCAAAGTGCTGGGATTACAGGCTTGAGCCACCGCGCCCGGCTTTTTTTTTTTTTCTTTTACATTGCTTTGTCTTACGTTGAAGTCATTTTAGGGAAGCGTACTCAAGCTGGTAGGCAGTGAGCTCTTCCGACAGTTCCCAAGAGGTGGGGTTGTAAGGAGGGGACCACAAGGACAGGAGAAGGGTCTGGGGCGGGAGCTGCTTGTGTTTGTTAACGCTAGGCGTAGGGGATCGTTAGGGGAATATCGTTGTTGGCTTTATCCTGTTTATCCCTTACTCTGCTTGGGGTATTTCCCATTTTGGGATAAGGTTTGGTTTCCCTTACCAGAAATGTCTCGCCTTTTGGGGTGAGACTCAATTTCCCTTACTGGAAATTTCTCACCTCCCCTACTGTTGGAGGTTTGTGTGAGGTTCAGTCTGCCCCTAATGGAGAGGTCCTACCTCTTTAACCGCCAAGCCGCCTCCCCCCGCGCCCCAGGCTTTTCTCACCATGGTCTATTCAGACCGAGGCGTAGTTTACTGTCCCCCTCCCCACGGCTTTACATCCCTTGGTCCTGACCATCAAGGAACTGCTACAGGCTCCCGAGGGTCTTTTTCTTGCTCTGTGCACAGAGTTGCTTGGTTGCCGTGGTATTTGTAGGCCTCACCACCCCCCACCCGGCGTTGCTGAGAGGCCGCCTCGTGCATCACATCAGGTAGGTCCCATCCTTTACCCCTGAGGCTGCCGCAGGGAAGCAGCATGAGCGTGTCCTCACCAGAGGGCCGGAAAGCACCCGAGGAGACCGGTGAATCCTGGACAAGCCCCCAGAATTGTTCTAAGTAATATTTCGATGCCACGAAAGAAATAGCACTCGGAGATAAATCCTCTCAGCAAGGCAATTTACTTGTTTGTTTGTAGAAAGTGATTTATTTAGAGAGAGAATCAGAAAAAGGAGAGAGAAAGAAGCAGCTAACTCTCAGGCTGAGTGAGAGAATCCAGAAAGATGGGATCCAGGAGAGGAAAGCAGCTCCACACTGAGTGGAAGGGAATAGAGATGGAGTCTAGGAGGGGAAGACAGGCTTCCAGAGAGGGTGTGGAAGGGGGCCCCAGAGGGGAAATCCAGGAGAGAGAAAGACGGCTTCCACTAAGGGAGTGTTCGTGGAAGGGGACCAAACATGGAGTCCCGGCAATTTACTTCTGTAGAAGGTGCGGCTCCCGCATGAAGCAATGGTGACCACACACCTGGACAAGGGGGAAGGGGCACTTATGCTTGACAGGGTCGTCCCTACTGCTGTGTAGCTCCCCTGTTGGCTGGCGTTAGACCGCACAAACTAGACTAATCCTGATCGACTGTTTTAAAGAGAGCAGGGGTCCGAGCTGGAGTGGCAGGGTGGGTATTGCGGCGGGAAGGATGGTCACGGGTGGGTCAGCAGGTAGCCAGGGGTGACCACCTAGGTCAAAGACCACCAGGTGACTGGGATGAGGCAGGATGGAGCCTGGATCAGGGGAACAGATGTGATCGAATGCTAGGAACCTGTGGAGAAGGTTGTTACTGGAATTACAAGGAAGTTAAACTTTAAAATAGAGAATTAAAGAGTAAGAGGCTGAACGTACTGACATACTGATTCTTTGAAGAGAAACTTGGGGTTCACTATAACACAGGGAGTAGGATGAGGCCAGAGTAAGGCCTACAGCCTTGCTAAAGGGCTGGTGTTTGCCCTTTACTCCAGGAGTTGTAATTATGTGTCTGCCTGTCTCTGCCCCTCTAGACTGCTAGTCCCTAAAAGACAAGGTCACTTTTCTGTCCGTAGCGGTACATCCACCACCCTGCCTCGAGTGTTCTTTCCATCCTTCCTGGTTTAAGAGTAAGGAGGAGCAATGGGACAATTAAGTCAGTTAAATGTATGATGTTTATTTCCCTTTTAAAGGAGGGGAGGTAAGAGTGAAAGAATCAGTGTGGGCATAGTCAGTGGGATTCTGAGTGAGGACGGCAGTCTTTTAAGTTCATATTCGTGTTTGACGGTTTGCTTACAGACCTCATATCTACAACCTCAGAACTTCAAGGTGTCCTCAGGAGGTGGGAGAGGGGAACATGCTCCCAGACCAGCCGGGCTGGCCAGCTGGACTTGGGTTTCCCGCAGGGCTGTTCTCTGTCAAGGGGCAGTTGGGGGACTCAGCTCGTTCTTCTTTGCTCCGTGGTTCCCTGTTGTCCGTGGTTCCCTGTTGTCTGTCTGCTCTCCTGAGGAAGCAGGTGAGCCATATTCTCTTCATGGGCTCAAGCCTTTGATTCCCAGTAATTTCACAATGTGGAAAATACGCCGGTTACCTTCCGGCTTCATGAATCGTCTCTACCTTCAGGATGAATTCAGTGAGAACTAAAGCTGGGCCAGCCCCCTTGGTGTCTGGATCTGGGCCTTAAACCTGGTGGAGTTAACAGCTCAGCTGGGTCTTGTTGCCAAACTCAGTTTGGGTCTGCCCTCCTAAAAAGCAAAGCCAAACACTGAGTTTTGCAGGGAGAGAACAGGCATTTATTGTAAGGCGCCAGGCAAGGAGACGGGGCAGCTAAGGCTTAAGACCTGAACTCCCTGATGGCTTACAAGCAAGGGGTTTAAAGGCTGGTCTGCAGGGGGATCTTTAAAGTGAGTTGAGGGCTGGGGAATTTCTGGAACTTTCTTTCCTGGCTTCACACTGTCTGAGGTCTTACATGACAGCAGTTAGTTGGCATTTTTTCATCTGGTGGGGGTCCTGGTTTCTGAAAACAGCTTGGGGGTATATGTCAAGGTGTTGCCTTCAGTTTCTCCGGGGAGCCAGGCATCCTGTGCCTCTCCCTTGGGTGACTGCTGCTTATTATCTTCTTCTTTAGCAAGTTACTTACTTTCCTAATTGCTGGTTGGGGGGCTAGCTAAGATTCCCGGGATTTTTCTTGAGATGACTCAAAATTTTTATTTCTCTGCTTGAGCTGGGGGAGCCGGGCAGGCCCTGAAAAGGGATCCCATTCCATCTCAGTCTGGCTATGGTCAAAAGCAGACACCAACTCAGCCCTTATACCCATCCTAGGTCGGGTCCCTCGGGGCCGGGTAGCCAATCAGATCCCCCCTGAGATCCTGAACAACCCCCAGCTGCAGGCAGCAGTCCAGGTCCTGCCTTCCAACTACAACTTTGAGATCCCCAAGACCATCTGGAGGATCCAACAAGCCCAGGCCAAGAAGGGTGAGCCTGTCATCACTGAGCTGGGGTGGGGGTGGAGAGGTTGCCTGGCCCAGGGGGACAGCGTCCCCACTGCAGCCCCTTCCTGGCCCTCCACGTCTCACGTCTCTGCTCTGTCTTTCAGTGGCTTTGCAAATGCCAGAAGGCCTCCTCCTCTTTGCCTGCACCATTGTGGATATCTTGGAAAGGTGAGGCTTGGGGCACTGGAGAGGGGCTGAGCCAGGCTCCCCCGCCCCCATGCTCATTACCCTGGTGGCGAATGCCCTGGTGGCGGGCATTTTTTCCTTCTGGACCTCCGCCTTCCCTGTCTCTCCCACATAACCAGACACATACTAAGGGAAAACCCAAAACAAATGTCCCAGCTTGTTGAGAGCCCTGCTTGTCCCTGCAAATCTCTCCTTTCCTAAATATTTGGGACGGAGAAATAAACCAATCCTGGTATCCTCAAAGCTAGGCCCAGAGCAGGTGGAAGAACTCAGGGAGGCACCTAAGAATTTTCCCAGCTGCCCCTGTGAGAGGTCTGGGGAGGGGATACCTTTTCCTCAGACACATTTGGGGAAGTAGGGCAAGCTAGGTTTGCAAAGGGGAGGTACCTGGGAGAAGGTTTTCAGTTCCTCTACGTCCTACTACTGTCATTCTAAGTTTCTGCAGTACAGTGAGCCATCCTTGGTGGGGAGGGTGAGAGCTCAGCCATCTGGAACCAGCACTGGAACAGGGGCGGAGAACGAAGAAAGGGGAGGTCATCTCGTGCTGGGAACCTCCCCCTCCCCTGCGGCCGCCTCCCTCCCCTGCTCCCCAGCCGGTTGCCACAGACTCACTTCCCTGCTCCCCACCCTCTTGCCCCTTGGGGATGCTCTCTGGGGCTCAGGCCAATTTGCATACATTTTAATCTATAAAAAATTAAGTGCTCTGGCTGACTCAGATGCCTGGGCTGCATTCTAAGGAGCTGAATAATCTGCTTCTGGGCACAGCCTGGTTTGGGGAAGGGGGTGGAGGAGGGGGTGACTAGCAGCTCAGCTCTTCCACCACCACACCCCCAGGGGAAGGATGGGGAGACCCAGCACTGAGCCAGGCCCCATGGCCCAGGTGTGAGCCTCTTTCAAGGAAGAGGGGCTTCTCCATTCCCTGGGTGAGTTTAGGGGTAGAGGGTCTTCCCCCACCCCTCCCCCAGTGATTCAGGCCTGGCAGCAGATCCATGGCATCAGAGCCTCTTCCTGACGCAGGAGGTGTGTAGGTGGTGCCATGTGCTGCGGGGGAGCTGTGCCTGGGCCCCCCTTCCTGGGCACTGAGGGCCCTGTCTGTGGGTGGGGAGGTAGCGGGGGTCCAGGTGAGAGGGAGGCTCTGTGTATCCATACAGCCACACCCACCGCAACACCCAGCGTGGGAGTGCGTGCCTTTGCGTGTGTGTGTGTGCATGCATGCACATGAGTGCTCACTGCTCTGGGTGGGTTGGGTGAGTCAGGGCATGGGACATCTGTGTTTTGACCCCATGTGTGCTGGGCTGAGGGTTGGGGTCCCTCCTGCAGCCTGAGCCTGGGCAGAGGAATGAGGGTCCTCATGCTGCAACCGTTTCAGGAGCTGCTGCCAGGCTGGGGGAGGTGGCAGCTGTGCCCCTCCTAATCTTTGTTGGCAGGAGTGGCAGCTGTCCACTCAAGGAACTGGGAGAGGTAGGGGGAGAGGAGCTGAGCCCTGAGACCCCTCCCAGGGCTGGGTCTCCCCTACCCCACTTCTGTGTCACTGTCCCACTGTTACCACCCCTCCCCACAGGTTCACCGAGGCTGAAGTGATGGTGATGGGTGATGTGACCTACGGGGCTTGCTGTGTGGATGACTTCACTGCCAGGGCCCTGGGAGCTGACTTCCTGGTACACTACGGCCACAGCTGCCTGGGTATGGCGGGGCCAGGACACCTCAGTGGTGGCGGGGCTGGCGAGAGGCAGGCCGGACACTCATCTTCCCCCTCGAAGCGCCTTCCTGTCCTGGTTGCGGCACGAGGTCCCTCCTGGTTTCTGGGATGGCCTCCGCCTTCCCGCTCTGCAGGTGGATCTTGCCTTTGGATTTGGTTGCCTTGGAAACTGTGCTCTGTCCCGGATGCAGGTGTTTAAAAGGCTGTTTAGTGCAGACCGGCCCCTGGCCGGGTGACACAGAAGCCTGACTGAGAAAGAGCTTCTAGGGGACCTGTGACCCCCTCTTCTCCTACCCTGTTCATCTACCTCCAGGCTACCTACTGGGCCTGGTTGCTCAGAGACCTCAGCCCGGGCCCTCTGGGGCTCCTGCCTTCCCAAACGGTCCCTGAATGCTTCCCTCCCCCAGTTCCAATGGACACCTCGGCCCAAGACTTGCGGGTGCTGTACGTGTTCGTCGACATCCGGATAGATGCTGCCCACCTGCTGGACTCTCTCCGCCTCACCTTTCCCCCGGCCACTGCCCTCGCCCTGGTCAGCACCATTCAGTTTGTGTCCACCTTGCAGGTAGGTGGAATGTGGATCCTCAGCCTCTTGCAGGGCAGACGGTGGCCACTCTCCAGCTGTTGCTGGGTCCCCATGCCAGGTGCTCCAGGTTGTTCAGCCTCTGGCTTCCCTTTCCCCCTCCTTCCTACAGGCAGCTGCCCAGGAGCTGAAAGCTGAGTATCGTGTGAGTGTCCCACAGTGCAAGCCCCTGTCCCCTGGAGAGATTCTGGGCTGCACGTCCCCCCGACTGCCCGAAGAGGTAGAGGCCGTTGTGTAAGTTAAAAATGGAGGCCAAATCCTAGAGACATAAGAATGTGCCCTGGGAGGGAGCCCGAGGGTCATCATACAGGAAAGAAACTGAATCTAACGCTCCTTACCTGCAGCCCAAGGTCACAGTGCAAGGTGGGCACCAGAAAGGGACTCGACTTGGGCTGTCTCTTTCCCCACTGCCCAGTCTGCCATCCAGAGGGCCTGATGGGGGGATGAGGGTGGGCTGACAGTGGTAGGAATATAATTGGCGAAGATGGATGGGCACGCCCAGGCTGCAGCCCCATTAATTTACCATCCGGACAGCTAACAAGCAGAAGCAGCATGTCTCCTGCCGCCTAATTATTTTAGGTAATGGAAATGCTTAATGTTGTGTGAATGCAGCCAGCCTGAGAGCCGACAGCTCCCCCGGCTGGGACTAGGGGAGGGAGCCCTGTTCCTTACTAATGGCAGGGAGGGAGGACACTCCTGACTCAGCCCACTTCTGGGGCTTGCCCCCTAGACAGGACCTCATCAGGGCCTTCCCCAGCCGAGGCCTGGCAGTCCTGCTCCCCCAGGAGCGCTTCCTGCGCCTGCATCACTCCGTATCCACCCTTGGGGGCTTCCAAGTGTATGTTGGAGGGAGGGACACCCAGAGTGTTGGCCATTCATCAGAATGAAGTGTGGTCTCCGAGAGGGAGAGGAGCTGTCACAGGCAGGTGAGCTTCCACACTCTGGAGTCTTCATGGTCTGGGAAGCCACACTTAGGGTTATGAGTCTTCATGGCCTGGGAAGCCATGTTAGGGTTAGCATGGCTGAGGGCCTGGGGTTAAGCCTCAGGTGTGCTGCTTCATAGCTGTATAATTGGAGGCAAGTTTCTTTTTTTATTTTTATTATTTTTTTAAGATGGGGTTTCACCATATTGGTCAGGCTGGTCCTGAACTCCTGACCTCAGGTGATCCGCCCGCCTCAGCCTCCCAAAGTGCTGGGATTACAGGCGTGAACCACCGCGCCCAGCTGGAGGCAAGTTTCTTAACATCCTTGAGCCTCAGTTGTATCTTCTGTAAAACTGGTATACTGTAGGTATCTTGGAGGATTAGTAGACAGGACTGAGTGAACTAATTCACATCAGGTACTTTGTCTGTGTCTGGTACACAGAAGGCAAAAACCCAATAAACAGTAGCTGGTGGCTGGGCATGGTGGCTCATGCCTGTAACCCCAGCGCTTTATGGGAGGCCAAGGCAGGAGATTTGCTTATATCTAGGAGTTTGAGACCAGCCCGGGAAACATAGTGAGACCCCCACCCTACAAAAAAAAAAAAAAAGAAAAGAAAAGAAAAAATTAGCTGGGTACGGTGTCCATGCCTGTAGTCCCAACTACGCAGGAGGCTTAGGTGAGAGGATCGCTTGAGCCTGGGAGGCCGAGGCTGCAGTGAGCCATGACCACGCCATTGCACTCGGTCTGAGTGACAGAGTAAGACCCTGCCTCAAAAAAAACAAAACATGAAAATCCAGTAGCTGTTGTTGTAACTCAGTAACTGGACCCAAGAGCTAGTCTGAGCAGAAAGTAGCGATTGTGTATGGCTGCAGCCTAATGTACAGCATAGCTCGGAGGTCCCCAACCCCTGACACCGCGGCCTGTTAAGAACCGAGCTGTAAGGCCGGGCGCGGTGGCTCAAGCCTGTAATCCCAGCACTTTGGGAGGCCAAGGCGGGTGGATCACGAGGTCAAGAGATCGAGACCATCCTGGTCAACATGGTGAAACCCCATCTCTACTAAAAATACAAAAAATTAGCTGGGCATGGTGGTGCATGCCTGTAATCCCAGCTACTCAGGAGGCTGAGGCAGGAGAATTGCCTGAACCCAGGAGGCAGAGGTTGCGGTGAGCCGAGATCGCGCCATTGCACTTCAGCCTGGGTAACATGAGTGAAACTCCGTCTCAAAAAAAAAAAAAAAAAAAAAAAAAAAGAACCGAGCTGTACAGGTGAGGGGCCATGGCTGCCTGAGCTCCGCCTCCTGTCCCATCAGCAGCAGCATTAGGTGCTCCCAGGAGGACACGCCCTGTTGTGACGTGCATTCGAAGGATCTAGGTGGCGTGCTCCTTATGAGAATCTAACACCTGATGATCTGAGGTGGGACGGTTTCATCCTGAAACCATCACCCCACTCCCACCCGTGTCTGTGAAAAATTGTCTTCCATGAAACCTGTCCCTGGTGCCAAGAAGGTTGATTACTGCTGGCGTAGGTGACTCCCTGAATGCTGCTGTCCACGTCTGTGTTGAGCCTGTAAGGGAGAATCTGTTCCTCAGCTTCCGGATGAGGAGTTCTGGAACTGCAGGCCGCCTGGTCTGGCCTGGGCTGCCCCTTCACTCTTCCCCAGAAGCTTGGGTGGGACAGTTCTTAGATTCTGCGTTACGTGATGAGAGAGACCATACAGTCATCCAATTCAAACTCCTTTCTTTTACATGTGAGGAAACCAAGGCTCTGTGAGGTGAAATGCTGGCTGTCCCAGTTTACACAGTCACAGCACAGCCAGCCGTGAACTCCGCCCTCTGAACGACTAAGCCAGCGAGTGCCTCTTCTGCCCAGATCACACATACAGCCTCCCTTCCACCCCTGCAGGTATCTTGGAGATGGCCGATTCCATCTGGAGTCTGTCATGATTGCCAACCCCAACGTCCCCGCTTACCGGTATGTGCTGGGCTGGGCTGGGCTGGGCTGGCAGCTGGTGAGGGGTCAGATTCGCGGCCACTCATGCCCTCAGTTGGTTGCATCCTCATTTCCTGGCTGCTAAGCCACCAGTCCTAAGGGTCTGAGGCACATGGGCGCTAGATGTGGGCATTCGCCCCAGGGCTGCTGTTACCTGCAGCCCTGGGGATTTACACTGAGATCCCAAAACTGCCAGCTCCTATCTGCTCCAGCTGTGGGACAGTTCTTCCTAATGACAGTCCCCACTCTTGCCTCTGTTCCCAATGACCTGCATAGGGCCTAAAGGCTCAGGAGCCTACAGGGCTGAGTTAGGGGCTGTGTGCCCAAGAGTCCCCACAGTGGCTGTCTCAGTGACCCTGGCTGCTGCTTTTCCAGGTATGACCCATATAGCAAAGTCCTGTCGAGAGAGCACTATGACCACCAGCGCATGCAAGCTGCTCGCCAGGAAGCCATAACTGCTGCCCGCTCAGCTAAGTCCTGGGGCCTCATTCTAGGCACTTTGGGTCGCCAGGGCAGTCCTAAGATCCTGGAGGTCAGTGGGCTCCGGAGGGCCTCTGGAGGAGGAGAGGAGCTGGGAAAACCACAGGTTCAGCTTTGGCTGCGTGAGCATGGTGACCTCCATCCTGCCGCCTCCTCCCAACAGCACCTGGAGTCCCAGCTCCGAGCCCTGGGCCTTTCCTTCGTGAGGCTGCTGCTCTCTGAGATCTTCCCCAGCAAGCTTCGCCTACTTCCTGAGGTGGATGTGTGAGTTTCCCCACCTTACCTGCCTGCCTATGACTCTGGATAAAGCAGCTTAGAAGTTGGGTCCTGCCCAGCCTGTCTCGAAGGCTGGAGCCAATAGGAATTGCTTCCATGGTCATGGAATTTTAGTGTTGACAGAGACTTCCCAGGCAGGGCTAACTGGGTCACACCTGCTTTAGGGCTCAGAGGCAATGGCAGCATCACATTTGTCATTGAGATGAGTTGCAGGGGTGCCCGACCCCTCCCTGGTAGCAGATACTAAATTTGGTTCTGGGGATGCTCTCACCAGTGAGCTGCCCTGGAAAGCTCATTGTCAGCAGAGGAAGCAGGAGAAAACACGCAACAATGCAGTATCCCAAACAGCAGCAGGTGACTGTGTTTACTTTAGGGTTTGTAAGGCTTGGTAATTAATGGGTTTGTAGGGGTACTGTCATGTTCTTCAGCATGCTGCCTGGAGGGAGAGGCGGCACCTCCTAGGGTCTGACCTGGCTTCCCTTCCCAGGTGGGTGCAGGTGGCGTGTCCACGGCTCTCCATTGACTGGGGCACAGCCTTCCCCAAGCCGCTGCTGACACCCTATGAGGTAACACCAAGTTCCGAACCCCTGGGAGAGTGGGTTTTGCACGTGCTTCTCAAAGGCCAGGTCTGGAGTGGGGTGGGGTGGGTGGGCAGGATTTGGTTATGTTAATAGGTTCCGGAGTCTTTCTCGAATTCTCCAGTTCCTAGCTGTGTGGTGTTAGACAAGGCCCTGACCTCTGAACCACACACTTCACTTCCGTGGTAGGGGACTGTGTGCCCTTCACAGGCTGTTGTGAGGGCTGAGTTTCAGTATCCAGGACCAGGAAAACACGGGCAAATGTTCTGTCTGGTCTCCCCCGCAGGCGGCCGTGGCCCTGAGGGCCATTTCCTGGCAGCAGCCCTACCCCATGGACTTCTACGCCGGCAGCTCCTTGGGGCCCTGGACGGTGAACCACGGCCAAGACCGGCGTCCCCAGGCCCTGGGCCGGCCCGCGCAGGGGAAGGTGGGCGGGGTTTCCAGGAGGGAGGAGAGACTGCACCTGGGCCCTGGCCGCCTCTGGCGACACAAGCCGAGGCCGCCGCCCGGCGACCGCGACGGGAAATGCAGGGTGGCAGAAGCGAGACCCTGACCAAAGTCTGCGACCTCAGGTGCAGGAGGGGTCCACGCAGCCCCCTTCAGCCGTGGCTTGCGAGGACTGCAGCTGCAGAGACGAGAAGGTGGCGCCGCTCGCTCCTTGACACGCTCCCGGCCCCCAGGTATCCGCCCCTGCTCTGGCTGCGCCCCTCCCCTCACCGTTGTCATGGGAACGTCTTGGCGCTGCGAGGCCCGCCTTCGGGGTGGTGCCTGCGTTTGGTTCCGCCCCTTGCACTCTCCTTCCGCTCGGGGAAAGGCCGCTTCCGGTGCTTTCATTGCGATTCTGCCGAGCATAATGGCCACGCAGCAGCGAACCCTCCGGGTCCTGTGCCTGGCGGGCTTCCGGCAGAGCGAGCGGGGCTTCCGCGAGAAGACCGGAGCACTGAGGAAGGCGCTGCGGGGCCGCGCCGAGCTCGTGTGCCTCAGCGGCCCGCACCCGGTCCCGGACGCCCCGGGCCCCGAGAGCGCCAGATCAGACTTCGGTGAGACAAGCCCTGCTCTGGAAATGCACTCGGCTTTCTCCATCTTGTTTCGTCCCCTCAGCGTCCCCCACCCTCATTCCTCCCACCCAGCCTATCCCCTCCTGCTCAAACTACTGCCTGTGCTCCCAGGCTTCCGCCTTCCTCCGTCGCCTCCTATTCAGGCCAATCCCTTCATTCCCCCTCTACTCTACCCTAGACTTTCGCCTCCCTGCCCCCTTTTTTCTCTGCCATCTCGAAGCCTCCCGCCCTTCTTGGAGCCTCCCGTGCCCTAAGCCCAGCCTCTTTCCCCGTATCGCTGTAGGGTCCTGCCCTCCGGAGGAGCAGCCTCGAGGCTGGTGGTTTTCAGAGCAGGAGGCGGACGTTTTCTCAGCATTGGAAGAGCCCGCCGTGTGCAGGGGCCTGGAGGAAGCCCTGGGGACGGTGGCGCAGGCCCTGAACAGGCTGGGGCCTTTTGATGGGCTTCTTGGTTTCAGCCAAGGGGCTGCGCTGGCAGCCCTCGTGTGCGCCCTGGGCCAGGCAGGCGATTCCCGCTTCCCCTTGCCGCGGTTTGTCATCTTGGTATCTGGATTCTGTCCCCGGGGCCTTGGATTCAAGGAATCTATCCTGCAAAGACCCTTGTCATTGCCTTCCCTCCATGTTTTCGGGGACACTGACAAAGTCATCCCCTCTCCGGAGAGTATGCAGCTGGCCAGCCGATTCCCTGAAGCGGTCACCCTCACCCACTCCGGTGGCCACTTCATTCCAGCAGCTGCACCCCAGCGTCAGGCCTACCTCAAGTTTTTGGACCAGTTTGCAGAGTGAGATCAAGAAATGTCTCTGCTCCAACATCCATCCCCCTTGGGGTAGTCTCGTCATCCGTGCCCCTCCCAGGGCTCTACACTGGTGTTGGCGGGCCTCACCAGGACCAGTTAAGAGACAGCTATAGGCCGGGTGCAGTGGCTCATGCCTGTAATCCCAGCACTTTGGGAGGCCGAGGCAGGTGGATCACGACGTCAGGAGTTCGAGACCAGCCTGGCCAACATGATGGAACCCCGTCTCTACCAAAAATTTTTTTTTTATAAAAAAAATTACCCGGGTGTCGGGGCATGTACCTGTAATCCCAGCTTCTTGTTAGGCTGAGGCAGGGGAATCGCTTGAACCTGGGAGGCAGAGGTTGCAGTGAGCCAAAATCACACCACTGCACTCCAGCCTGGGCAACAGAGTGAGGACTCAGTCTCAAAAAAAAAAAAAATATATATATATATAGTACTCGGGACTTGGTTACATGAGCCCCGCCCTGTACTGAAGAAAAGGGGAGCACAGGCCTGTAATGGACATTGACCTTGATTTGTGAGACTCAAGAAAATGCCTGGAGAGCCCTGGATTAAGAGGATGATGTGGGACGAGCAGAGGCTGGCACCCCGGTGACTGCCACATAATAAACTGACGATTTGTAGCATCTTTTTCCAGTACACACAAAAACACTGTCTAATGGAAGTCGCTTTCTTGGCCACCTACACAGTCTTGTGGGCAGCACCAAGCAGGGAGGTGTTTCCAGTGGTGCCAGGACAAGCCCCTGCACAGGCGCACATACTCACATGTTACTGCTGGAAGTTTCAGTCCCAAGCTGAAGGGAAGGAGCCCTCAGTGGCAGTGTTAGGGAGGAATATACATCTGAGAAGTTTGGGGAAGATGTCCCCTGGCAAGGCCAGAGTAATTTTAGCCTTCCTCTGTCTCTCAAACCCTGGCTGTGTGCTCTGCTTCTCCTTAAGTGCTCTTACTCCTCTGAATTGTTAGCTTGAAGGATGAGTTGATGTCAGACCTTGGGTGGACGCCAAAGACAGTACAGAATGAAGAAACAGACTCTTGCTCTGTTGCCAGGCTGGAGTACAATGGTGCAATCTCAGCTCACTGCAATCTCAGCCTCCTGGGTTCAAGCAATTCTCCCGCCTCAGCCTCCCCAGTAGCTAGGACTACAGGTGCACAGCACCACGCCCAGCCAATTTTTGTATTTTTAAAGTACAGACGGGGTTTCACCATGTTGCCCAGGATGGTCTTGATCTCTCAACCTCGTGATCCGCCTGCCTTGGCCTCCCAAAGTGCTGGGATTACAGGCGTGAGCCACCGTGCCCGGCCAACAGCCTCATCTTAAATTGACCCCATCTTCAGGGTTTCTGAGACTGTTGCCATTCTTTAGTGACTACAGCCAAGGCCTAGGCAACCCAGCTGGTTTCGTTTTGGGTAGTGTAGTTTTTCTTGGATACTTTTTTAAAAATCTATTTATTAGTTACTCCCCCCAACAAGAGCTTAACCTGGCCACTGCAGGGACCTTATCTGTCTCATTGTCTTCCTGCCACCTTCCTTCCTGTCTTCAGTGACTGGAAGAAATATCTGTTCCTTTAGCAACCTAGTCTGTTCCCAGCTGATGCCCCTTAGAAAAGCAGAAGCAGCAGTCTGACTTGGTTTGAAAACTAAGCTGGAAAATGGACTCCTCAAATTCCCACAGTTCAGCACCTGCCCTGAAGAGGGAGGCTCCGACCAGACCCAAACCTGGTCAGTGTTACCTATCCCCTCTCTGCCAGCTACAGGAGTAGTCCGGACACCCAACAGTCATTCAGGAAAACCATGAACTTTAGGACTCAGGGGCTGGGGTGGCTGGGAAGAGGAAACAACACAAGCCTCGAACTGTCTCTACCTTGAGGATCTTGCGGCTGCCCACTGCCAGCGCCACAAGCCGGCTTTGCAGGCCACACCGGATATCCTGGGCGCACGTGCCTGGTGGCACCTGAACTTCAATGAACACCTCCTCCAGAGTCGTACCACTGGCCCCACAGGGTCCCACACAGAACCACCCCACTCCACTCCTCAAACAGGGCCGACATACTCCAGTCGCCTCCCAGCTGCAGTTGTGCCAGGTGGAGCTGAGCCGGATACTTTTTTTTTTTTTTTTTTTTTTTTTTTTGAGATGGAGTTTAGCTCTGTTGCCCAGGTTGAAGTGCAGTGGTGTGATATCGGCCGACGACAGCCTCTGCCTCCCATTCTCCCACCTCAGTCTCCTGAACAGCTGAGATTACAGGCACATGCCATCATGTCCAGCTAATTTTCGTATTTTTAGTAGATACGGGATTTCACCCTGTTGGCCAGGCGGGTCTCGAACTCTCTACCTCAAATGATCCGCCCGCCTTGGCCTCCCAAAGTGCTGGGATTACAGCCAGGAGCCACCACACCCAGCCCTCTTAAAGACAAGGTCTGGCTCTGTCACCCAGGCCGGACTTCAGCAGTGCAATCGGCAGCCCTAAGCCATCCTCCCATCTCAATCTCCTGAGTAGCTGGGGCTATAGGTGTGCATTGCCAAGCCCAGCTAATTGTATTTTTTGTAGAGACGGGGTTTCACCATGTGCATGACGGTCTTGAACTTGTTTGCTCAAGCAATCCACCTGCCCAGCCTCTCAAAGTGCTGGAATTGTAGGTGTGAGCCACCTCAACTGGCCAATTGCCACTCTTAATGATTTCCCTCCCACTGCCAGTGCCACCTGAGACCCCCCTCCTCCTAAGCGCACACGCGCACACACACAGCTTTCTGACTTCTTTCCTGCCTCTGCAAGACAAGACGCCTGTTCTTTTTCTGGAAGATCACGCCAACTCCTATCTAGCCATCAGACACAGCTGCCAAGGAGATGAGCGACTGAACAGGAACTGTGTGGTTAGGGGATACAGCACAAATCCTCTGGCACCTTTTTACTGACAACCAGACTGATACCCCTTAGGTTACCCAAAGTTCTAGGTTCCTTACTACAGAGAGCAGCTGTCCAAGATTAAAAAAAAAAAAAGGAATTATCCACCCAGACAGAGACTCAACTTACTGGGTGTGGAAATTGTGTGTTGGGAAGGATGAGAGATCGTCTCTGCCTTGTTCTTGGTGGTTTAAGGAATCTCCTTTAGCAAAAGGAGATTTTGTGGTATCGGATCCATTGAATTTCAGGGGAAAAAAAATCTGATTTAAAATTTCAGAAATTGCACAGAAAAATTCAGAGTTCTGGCTTTTCTGGAAATGATTGATCTGCAGTGCAGGGCTCCCTTACCCTCGTGGCAATCATAGGCTGCCCCTTTAGCGTGGTCCAAAGAGAGGAAAATGACTCGTCTACCCCAGCTGCGTGGGACTCTTGTGAGGATGAAAGTAGAGAGGGGGGCAGAAATAGTGGGGAGTGAATTTTAAGGCTTAAAATGAGAAGTGGGGTGCGTAGAGCCCAGCAGTATTTGGTGGAGCAGAAGGGCTCCTGGTAGGGGTGAGGATTCCTCCTGAGAACCAGCGTCCAAGCTAGAAGGAAACCTGGGGTTACTAATTCTCAGCAAGTGGAACATTTCACTTCCTTTTTTTTTTTTTTTTTTTTTTTTTTTTTTTTTTTT